TCAATGAAATCAGGTGATGGCCCTGATTTTTTGGAGGTTTGAAGGAGCCCAGCTGTGGAAGGCTCATTCTGAATCTGGGTTCAGAATTCTTGGCTTTAGGACCCATCAGACAGCAACACGGAAAAGGGGTTTATTTCGGAAATCTGAATCACACATTCCAGAACCTCCACCCCCCTACCCCCCACCTGCCCAGAGTGGTTTCACCTGACTCACTAATTTTGGCTGACTCTTCCAAGGGAAGAAGCAAATCAAGTTTCCTGAACTTCAGCTCCATCAGTCCACCACAGCAAAATGTAAACCTTAGGCTTGTCCTGAGTGGGAGGGAAAAATATTATGGTTTTAGGAATTACAGCTGTGAAAAGTGGAGGAATGTCAAAAGCCCTGCCACGTACCATACAAAGAGTGAGAGAGAGAGATAGGAGAATTCAAAAAACCAGAAGAACGGGGCTGACTCTTCTGCAAATCAGCCACAGCAATGGAGCCCCCAGAAACAGGACTCCCCTTAGAAATAGGCCTTATTTCTTGGCCAGACAGCCCAGTGCTGTTGTCTGTGATCATCTGCATATCCTGCTTTCTCTTCTATAGAGGAAATAGTCATGAATGTCAAGGTTAGCCAGCAAAGCAGGTGCACCAGCCTAGCGTCACGGGGCCCCTTGCTCATCGGTCTGCAGATCTGTCAGGAGCCGGCCCCACTCACCTCTCAGCTGCCTCTGCTGTCCCCCTGCTGCAGCCCTGTCGTTGAGCCACCCTGGGTTCCTTGAACACCTGCACTTCCTCAACTGTGACGTGGGTAACAGTGACACCAGTCTGGGTGGTTGGGGGAACCAAGTGACTACTGTCTGGAGTTCTTAGAACCTGACACATCGTAAACACTTAGAAACGTTAGCTTTTCCCCAGAACAGCTTCTTACATGCAGTACCCACCTAATAAATATTTGTTGAATAGATGAAGGAAGGAAGTCAGTCACTGCTTGCCTCTTGGCACACATACTTCCTCTCCTTAGAATTTCTTTCCATCCCTTGCCCGAGTTCCTTCTATGTCCTTAACTCAGGCGTCTACTTTACCTAGAGGCCTTCTGGCTGCCCTGGCCCCAGCCCGAGGGTGGTGTTCCTCCTTCGTGCCCCAAGGGCACCTGACCTCTATCTTCATCATTAGGGTCATAATTGCTGGGAGCACAGCGGCCTGCTGGTTTGTCTCCCGCCAGACTGTGGCCTGTGTCTGGAGGAGCACTTGCCCTCATGAGCATCGTGACCGTGTGAAAACTGTAGCTGCAGTGTGTGAAGCACTCTGGGACTAAGCGGGACACTTTGTGCATTATCTTTAACCTTTACAAAAATCCTAAAAGGAGGGGCAATTAGAATCATTCCCATTTGTTGGTAACAAAATTGAGTTTCAGGTTCAATAACGAGCCACGGTCAAGGTCATAGCTGAGATGAACCCAGGTGTCAGGGCTGCTAACCATTACACTGCACTGGCTTTTTTAGTCAAAAAGGAGTTTGATGGGTGTTATGTTATTTGTCATTGAACAGTTGTATTTTGTAACTTAACTAAGTGAACCAGCCACTAAGGTGGGGAGACCTGCGAAGCTGGAAGCAGCCAAGTGGAGAGAACTGTGAGCCGTTGTCATGGAGTTTGTGTTTTGTCGTAGGCTCGGACAAGTGGACCTCCCTGGAAAGAAAGCTGTTTAATAAAGCACTAGCCACTTACAGCAAAGACTTTATTTTTGTACAGAAGATGGTAAGCATGCTTTGGCCCATTGCTTGCTTAAAACTGGATTTGGGAGATATGTAGAAGTATTTGGTTACTGGTTTACTGCTCTAACAAAAAGGGCGTCTTCCCCCACTTGCTGGTGACGAGTGCCATCTGTTCAGGGCAGCATGGCCCCAATGTCAGGGATACGGGGGGAAGGAGGACAGATTATTTGGACATGACAGTGGTGGTGGGGTATTTCTATCTTAATAAAAATGTGTAATTTATACATTCTGTTAGAATAAAATAGAACTCGGGCTTCTAGTTCACAATTTGCATAATTTATTTCATGTATATTTGACAGGTCTATCGTATCTCCCAACAGAATATTTTTTGGGGAAATTGAAGAAGTGATGACGGGTGCCCTCCCCCTAGCCAGTAGCAGGGTTTCTGGTGTTGGGCCCCTAATTATAATGACAGTAAGGGTAAAAATCATACTTTACATAGACAGCATTTCACAGCAGAATAGAACTGTTTCACGTAGATGAAAAAGCACTTTATACAGCAGACAATAAACCCAATAGGCCGTAATTGGCTAAGAGGGATTTAGGCTAAAAGTTAAAATGATTTAAAGTGTGTTTCAGCAGACCGATGAATGATGGGGCCACATTGTATCACTAAGGTTATTGAGGTGTTCAGGTCCACGGAAAACAGGGTCATGAGTGACAAGCAGCTCCCATCAGCTCTGAGCTAGGCCAGTGGTGCCCTAGGTACCTGTCCTTAACTGAGGGCCTTGGTAATGGAGAATCAGAGTAGGAGGTCCTTTTCTCCAGCTTATCTCCTCCAGAGCTGAGTTCACCCTCGCTTTCCCCTCCTCGGAGGCCAGCACGTTCCCTGCCCAGCCGCTCCCATGCTCTGAGCTTTCTGGAGTCACCATCCCCAGGACTAACCTGTCGTAGGCTTCACGCCTTGTTGACTGACAATAGCTTCATGTGTTGTGCTTGTCAGGTGACACAGGTGTCTAAGCAAGGGCTCTCTGGAACACTGTGCGCACTTCCTGGGCCAATCCATAGTAGAAGTGCAAGGTATCAGGTGGATGTGAAGGGGGCAGCTTTAAGGAGACGAGATCCTTGCCTCACTGTGCTGGTGGCCGTGTCCCCAACCCTAAGGGCACTGTCCACCATTTACCTGCCTCCAGAAAACCCATGCCAGTGAACTGCACTTGGAGCTTAGAGATACATGCACAAAACAAAGGAATTTTTTCTTTTTAAAACACACTTTTCTTTTGACGGAAAACAGAGCAAGGCTGATTTTCTGCAAAAACTAAGCTCGTCATTACAGCTTTGCCTTATGGTCCTGTTTTCCTCACTAAGGAGCATTTTTTTGTAAGTAGATTTTGAAGGGCAATAAGTCGGTTAACAAATCAGACAACCAAACACATTCAAGCATGTTTAATGAAAGCGTGCTGCTTTACAGGTTAATAAAAGGAATGAGTTTGCTATGGAGTGATGTGGAAAATCTCCAGGCCAGGCTATATTGTGGAAAAAAATCAAGTTGCAAAATATACATGTGCTACCTTTTGCGAGAATAGTAGGGAAGGATTGTGTTTGTTGGTGTACACATAAAGAAATTCTGGAATGATATCCAAGAAATTAATAAGAGGGGGGTTAGCTGCATTAGACAGGGGTGGGGGGTCAGCTGGATGGAGGAGAAGAGGCGTGGAAAGGAGACTTTTCTCTGTATACATTTTTTATTAAACTGCATAAGCCTACCACCTATTATAAAACTAAATTTTAAAAAAAGCTTGCTCTGTGCACCCTGCCCACTGCTCGGACTGACCTTGCGATGGCTTTCCCCAAAGGTCAAGTCTAAGACGGTGGCTCAGTGTGTGGAGTACTACTACACATGGAAGAAAATCATGCGGTTAGGACGGAAGCACCGGACACGCCTCACGGAGCTCATCGATGACAGTGTGGTAAGTGAGCTGCCGAGTGGCTGCTCATGCTGGCCCCACTCCCACCCGCACCCACCTTAGTCAGTGGCTGGTGTTTGGTTTGGCTTTGCCACCAAGGTAGCCACAGTGAGTGGCTGAAGAGCCTGTTCCCTGGCAGGATTCAGGCTTTGATGTCTTGGTGTAAAGGCAGAGAGAAGGCTGCTTGGGGTTGACCTGTGGCTCAGTGTTCAGTGAAGGAGGTGGGAGCTGGCCTGCATCTCAATGCAGGTGGGAGCCAGGGAGTTCAGCCAGGGTGGTCCCAAGCCATGGGTGGTTGGTTTTTAATAAGAAGGTGACCCCCTGGCACACCCTTTTCTGATCCTTCCATGTCAGAGATGCCACTGACCAGAGAACATAGTGTGCTTTCACATGATGAAGGAGGCCTCAGCTTTACCACAGCTTCCATAAAGCATGAGCCAGGAGGAGCTTTGACCTGTGGATCATGCCAGGGCAGCTCAGCTGAGGCACTGGTTAGCAGGGTGTAATCATTCTAACCCTCTCACTTCATCCCTGTATTGACTTCCTTCATTGTCAGAGCATCGAAATGATCTGCATATTAAGATTAAGTACATTCTAAAGAGATAAGATCAAAATCCTCTCAGAACCCTGTGTGTGTGGCTTTGGTCATTACTACCATGTTCGTCCTTGTAGTGGGCTCTCCTCTCTGTGTCCACGGCTTAGGGGGATCTCCATCTCACCTGTTGTGGCAAACGTTACCTACTGTGTACGTATGTCAGAGTTCATGACTGGGGTGAAGGTCTGTGATCAACATTCATTCCCAGTAGTGCCCCAGCGTAAGTGTTAGCACATAGGTGGGCTGTTTCCTTAAAAAGGCACTTTCTGTGTGCCAGGCATTATGCAAGGCACTTTACAAAGGTTGCCTCATTTAGTCCTCACACCAGTTCTGCATGGTATAAAACTGAGGCACAGAGTTATTTAGCTGTGGTCAGTGGCTGGTCACTGTGTTGTCTGAGCCTGATGCCCTCATGTTGTATTTAGGTCAAATGCAAATTCTCTTCAGGAAGTGTAAAAACACTTGGACGCATTAATACTTCAAAGCCCAAGTTCCTGACTATGTATTAAGCCTAGCTAGAAAATATGCACACATATGTTAATTTATATTTGGACCTAAATGAGACAAAATAGACATATGCGGAATCGAATGGATTTCCCATTCTTTTGATCCAAGTCGACCATATTCTGTATTGAGGGTTTCCTGTGACCAGGATTTTTTGTCTGACTGGTTTAAGTAGTAATGTCTTGTATCAGAGTAGCCTTTTGCACATCTGTTGCCTAATGTTTTAAAAAGCAGTGTGATGCATAGGTTTGAATTTACGGCAGGCCCCTCCCCCTGGGTCTGCCATAGTGCCTCATGCCCGAGCAAGCTGTGGCCTCGAACCATTGCCTGGCCTCTGCCCTTAGGCTGCAGGCATTGAAGCAGGTTGCATGGGGGGGGGGGGGGGGAATAAGCAAGTAAATAAAAAAGCAGTGTGGCTTCATCTGCTTCAATGAACTAAAGCCCCTTGAGCTCCTGCAGTATAAACAGCAACATGTATATTCGCAGTGGGTGAGTCAGGAACGTTGACGGGCCTCTGCCTCTACTTCCCCCAGGTGCGCTAGTCTGGAAGGTGTGGCATACACAGTGGAAAGTTTACTGGGAGCTCCGAGAGTGTTTAAAAGCGATATGGAGTGAGAAGCGGAGTTCTCAGCTATAGCCTCAGGCTCTCTTTCTCATTTGGCTCCACCAGTCCACAGCCAGATCGCACGGAGCATCCTCGCTTTCCAAGTGGGTCAGGTAGACAGTAAACAAGAAAGCAGGATGGACCCTGGCCTTGAAGACCTGGGACCTGACTCCTGGGCCATAAAATGAAGCAGATGACTTAGGTGATTCGGAAAGTCCCTTCCAGTTCTGGAACATTTGGGGCTCTGTGAGAGCCATGTGCGGGAGAGGACAGAATCAGAGGATAGGGTTTCCTGGGGCAAATTAGTGTCTCTCTGGCTTTGCTGTTATCAGGTGCCTAGGATAGTGTCTGCATAATAAGTCACTTAACAGATATTTACAGAGTGAAGGAATAAACGTTCTTCTGAGGTGTGTAGTAACAAGCCCTCTATGGAGGGAGGGAGGAGAACTCGCTGGAGGGAGACAGGAACAGGTGCTTCTGAGCAGAGGAGTGCTGCCGAGGAAGACGTTACCACACGAGGCAGAGGCACCGTCTTGGGCCAGCAGGACTTTGAAGGTGGGTAGAAAAAGCAAGCCACACGTAACTTCAGGAGGAAGAGTGGCTAAGACGGTGCAAAGGGGCCACATCTTCTTGGGTTAATCACCAGGAGCCAGTATTAGGCTGCCTCAGGAGCATCCACACCCTTGTGACCTCTGAGCTTAGGGAGAACAGGAAGTGAGGTGCAGGGATGACTCAGGCCCACAAAAACGAGAAAACCCTGATCTCAAGGCCCAGCTGTCTGACAGTAGTTTGCAGGTGACAGATTGGGACTGTGCAAGGACTGGGGAGGGTGCAGAAGGCACTGTCCTATGACCATGGTCTGGGACTTTGGCTTAGGTCTCCGGATCCTGTGTCCTCAGTGTTTTATTAAAGGAACAGGTGACCACTCCCTGCCCAGACGGGATATGCGAGGGTGGCTTGGGGACTTGTGTTGGGGGAGAGGGAAGAAGGAGAGTTTGTGAGGAACCAGCAGGGTAGTGGTGTGCCTTCTGGCCTGAAGCCGCTGCGGGCCCTTCCACCCTTGCAGGCAGAAGGGGCCAAGGTGGGCTCTGTTAAGGAGGTGGCAGTAGGCTGTGCTGACCACCCCTTCCTGCAGCCGGTCCATCCCTGTGACCCCACTCCCAACAAAACAGTGCATCTGGCTGTGACCAGACCGAACACAAGTCCAGAAACAAACTGCCACAGTTGACTACCTGGGAAAGACAGCGGTCAGGGCTCCAGGGGTCAAGTTCACCCAAGGTCTGAGTACCTCGGGTTTTAAATCTCAGTTTATCTTCCGTACCAGCCACATGACATTGGAAAAATCAGTTCTCTGACCAACTTCCTCATTTGTTTAAAAAAGAAAAATTTGGCGCCCTGGCTGGTGTAGCTCAATGGATTGAGCACAGGCCTGCGAACCAGAGGATCGCGGTTCAATTCCCAGTCACGGCACTTGCCTGGGTTGCAGGCCAGTTCCCTGCAGGCAAATTCCCAGCAGGGGATGCACTAAAGGCAACCATACATTGATGTTTCTCTCCCCTTCTCCTTCCCCTCTAAAGATAAATAAATAAAAATCTTAGTTAGGATTATATCCTAAGAATCCTAAGACATCAATATCAAAGAACCTGTGTACCACAATGTTCATAGCAGCACAATTTACAATAGCCAAGAGTTGGAAGCAACCTAGGTGCCCATCAGTAAATGAATGGATCAAAAAATTGTGGTACATATACACAGTGGAATTCTATGCTGCAGAGAGAAAGAGGGAGATACTACCTTTTGCAACAACATGGATGGAACTGGAAAGCATTATGCTGAGTGAAATAAGCCAGGTGTTGAAAGACAAATACCATATGATCTCACCTTTAACAGGAAGCTAAACAGCAAAATAAACAAGCAAGCAGAAAAAAAAAAAAAAAACAAAGACACTGAAACAGAGAACAAGGGGACAGTGACCAGAGGGGAGAAGGAAGGGAAGTTAAGGGGAAAAAGGGGGAGGGATTTGGAGGAACAAATAGGAAGGACACAGGGAAGAGAACTAAGGGGGGTGGAAATGGGAGGGAGGTGGGGAGCAAGGGGTGGGGGAGGCTGGGATGGGAGAAGTAGACAAAAAACTGTACTTGAAAAATAATAAAATTAATTTTAAAAAATCTTTAAAAAATTTTCATCTAAAAAAGAAAAATTTGTACAGGGTTGTTGTGAGAACTAGAAATGTGTGCGTGTGATGCCTGACTCATTTCAGTCATTCAGAATTACATCATCAGTGCTGGTAACACTGCAGTTTGTCTTGGAGTAAATATGACTTGTTGAACATTTGTATTTTAACTTACAAATTTCTCATAATATGAATTTCATTTGCATGCCAGAAAAGTAAAAACATCCTCCACCTCAAGTAACTCTTGAAATTTATATAATGTTATTAACCATTGTTACCCCGATAAATTTAATTATTTTTTAAAAAGATACTCTTGCCCTGGCTGGTGTGGCTCAGTGGATTGAGTGCAGGCCTGCAAACCAAAGGGTTGCAGGTTTGATTCCCAGTCAGGGCACATGCCTGGGTCGCAGGCCAGGTCCCCAGTAGGAGGCGTGTGAAAGGCAACCACACATTAATGTTTCTCTCCTCTTTCTCCCTGCTTTCCCCTCTTTCTAAAAATAAAATAGAAACTCTTACCGTGGATGCTCAAGGTTTTAAGCACCACATTAAATGTAGAACCACCTCTCTGCCCTGTATTTGCCCACCTGCTACTGATTTTGGAGTATCACTAAAGGTTTGTTTCATAGTGCGTGCCCAAATGGCCAACTTGTCCGTAGGAAGGTCTGTATGTTAGGGCTTTCCTCCTCTTATCTTCATGTCTGCTAGTCCCTTTGGGGATCCATTTGGCTTTAGAGTAAGTCCTTTTGTGAACATGTGTAGATCACCAGTTAAAATAACACCTACCTGAATTCCTGAGACATACACAGTCATAGTACAGTATGATCAAATCTGTAATGTTGTGGCTGTATGGAATGTTTCTTCTCAGAGCTCTTAAGCCAGAAAGCAGCACTGTGAGAAAATTGTCACCACTGAACCCGTGAGGGGTGTGCTAAGTGCCCCGTACTGCACTGGTGTCGCCTCTCCCCAGCCCCAATCCAGACTGGAGAGCGGAAGCCTGTGGTTTCTGGGCTCTAACAATCACAGACTCGCCCAGAGCCGCGTTGCAGTCTGGGATAAAGCAGGAGGGATCCCTCCGCTGTGAGCAGTGGGAATGCAGAGAGAGCGTGACAGCGCCAAATACCTGGCAATGGAAGAAGACCTGCCTCTGGGTGCACAGCACAGCGCAGTGTGCAGATGACGTATCACGGAATTGTATACTTGAAGCCTATTGTATTTAACTAGCCAGTGTCAGCCCAATAAATTTAATTTAAAAAGATAAAAGTTAATATAAAAGAGAGCAAGAGCATGCACGCGGCAGAGACAATGCCTGTTCAGTTGGGTATACCTTTTTTTTTTTACAATTTTATTTATTTTTAGACAGAGGGGAATGGAGGGAGAAAGAAAGGGAGAGAAACATCAGTGTGTGGTTGCCTGTTGTGTGCCCCACACTGGGGAACCAGGCCTACAACCCAGGCATGTGCCCTAACTGGGAATCAAACCAGTGACCCTTTGGTTCACAGGCTAGTGCTCAATCCACTGAGCCTTACCAGCCAGGGCTAGGTATGCCTTTCATTTCCTCATTTATAAATTGAGGGTCTGTTTACAGACTATGCAGTGATACGGCAACTATGAAAGCACTTTGTGAACTGTAAGGTGCTGTAAAGAGGAAGCTGAAATGAAGCTGATGTAACATGGAACTCCCTTTCCGTGGTCCCCAGGCCTTTCTCGGCCTGCAGGAGCCAGTGTTCCCCACTCTACCCCTGCCTCCATGAGGACAGAGAGTAGAATAAGGTCATCAGTGAAACCGGAGGCCGGATGAGGGGCTCATAGACCCCTGCATCCCCAACCCACCCAGGGCACCTACTCCAGCTGCTCCGTTAACTCACCATCTTGTTAACCTTGAGGAGGGTGTGGACCTCCTGCTTAATTCTGCACCTGGGTGCTATTCTGAAGTAGAGGGAGGGGACACAATAGCAAAGAGGGCAGTTAGTCATAGAGAATATTCTGCTTGTTCTTTTTCACAGGCTGCCTCTGGAAGGCATTTCTACAAGCCTACTGTCAGAGGCCAGGATCAAAACACAGGCTAGCCCTGGTTGGTGTGGCTCACTGGGCTAAGCGCCGCAAACCGAAGGATTGCTGGTTCGGTTCCCAGTCAGGGCACCTACCTGGGTTGCAGACCAGGCCCTTACTTGGCAGCTGTGGAAGAAACAACTGATAGATATTTCTCTCCCTCCCTTGTTCTCTCATAAATAAAATCTTTTAAAAAAAAAAAGCACATGATAAGTAAAAGGGAATATCCTCTTCCATTTTCTCTCCTTTTTAAAGTTATTATGGTTCACTCTTTGGGTTTTTTTTTTTTTTTTTTTTTTCTGGCAAGATCAGAACAGGGCTCCCAGTGTCATGAGTTTTCCACAGGCCAAATCAGCGTCTCGGGAATCTTGCACAGAAGTGGGTTACGAGCCTATAAAACAATCCAGGCAGGTCTTTAGTGTCTCTCCAAAGGGTCCCCCAGTACTGTTATTGCTTGAAAACCCTGCACACAGCACTGGGGGAACAGAACAGGGCAGACAGACACAAGTGGGTCCGCCTGCCTGGATTTTAGTCCATTTCAAGGTCTG